TACTTTATCATTCACCAGGATGAATTTGATACACTGTTAGTTTCAGCACATGCAATACATAGTGCAGAACTTATTCACACATGGCTGGCCTTTGAAAATCAATCCTTTTACAATAGAAAGCTCAAATAAATTTTGGATTTGAATTCAATCTCAGTCACTCTGAAGTAAAATCACAGTCTAACGGAGGCTGTAAAGAAAAGACTTAGTGTCATCAAATGGGAAATCATGCACTAGGACAAAAAGGAAGTCTATACACTGTATATTCTGTCACTCTAAGAATAAAGGGACCAAATGGGTAGAGAGCTGAGAGCTACATGGTCATGACCTCTGTGTTCCTGGTCTGGTCTGGTCCTGGACACCCCAGGTAATCTGGTATGGGCCAGTTGATTTCAGAGGACATCTATTTGAAAGAGAACTTTTGCCATTGCACTTGAATCACCACCTCACAGGTAAATGGTTTTCGATACTGTACGTGTCAGACATGGTGGAAAATAATGGAGCTGGAGTCAGATGGAAACTGGTTCTTGGTATGTGAAACATAATGTGAACACAAATTAAGCAGGTTCAGACAAACAACTTCAGCACACATGACACTTGTTGTTTGCACCTGACACTAAAATCAATATTTTTATATGAATGAAAAATAAATGTATCCAATGAATATGTATAATGTGAATGGATGAAGTAAGAAGAATTATACCCTGCCCCAATCCATTGTGTTGTTTGTTTTTTCATTGTGGGGAGGTCAGAGCCCCCCCCCCCACCCCCAATCAGGGTTTAGTTAGTGGGCCTTTGTTTAGAATTATTTTAACTGTCTTTCCTGCTTTTTCTTGAGTTTCATCATCAGCTGGAGAGTTGAAGCTGAAACCGACATAGAAGCATTTCTTTAAAATCTGGTGCCAGGCGTTTGGGCCCCGAGGACTGATTCTGTTTCCATTTTTCATGTTGCTGAGGAAATTAGAAATGCTAATAGCCCTGGATATTATTGTGGTGTCATGGGTGACACATTTATTGTAGATTGTGTGGTCTGGTTGAAGAGGTGGTGATGAAGGGAATCAGCAATCCAGAAAATCCATCAGAAATGTTTTAGAAAAACAAACTCCACTTCTTGCTCAACAGGTCAACAGGACATGGCAATTTGCTACATCTATCTTTGTGTCTTTTGTGGTTTCCCAAACATTTTGAGGGGTCAGGGTGGGGGGATGGGGGGTGGGGGGGTTGTATTTGTACTGCCATTGCTTTGAACCATAGAGCCAGAACATATATGCATCTTTAAACTTATCTAACCAGCAGTGGAAGGGAAAATTTTACTCAGTTTTCACCAGCTTCCATCCATTATACAAGTTATGAAATCAGAGACCCTTCTTTGAATATTTGAGGGCAACTGATGGACAGGAATGTCGAAGCATTAAAGGACTTTTACTAAAACTTACTTATTAAACTGGTCAGTATTGATGTAAATCTGTGAATGATGATGGATCCAACTGAGTGAAAGAAGAGCAAAGCAACATATTTCATACCATATGCCAGATATGATAAATATTTTATTTCTGATCAGCAAAAGACACACAATTGATGCATTTGTATCTTTCATGACTTTTCAGTACAGAGGAAAAACCCAAACATATACACAGTATGGGTATATATGTATATGGGTATATTCTAAAGTGCAAGTGATTCACAAGGGTCAATCATGCGTTACATAGCATCTGTATCAGCAACTTCAGTAATCTCCTTAAATCCTTGATAACTTTTTGAATCCGATAGTAAAATAACTGTCACTTATATATGAATACAAAATAAACTTTACTAGTCACTGAAGCTTTTTGATTTTGTTTAAGCGCAACAACATTTATCAATCTATTTCAAGTCTTGAGAGGAAAGAGTACCATGAAGTGCCAGGAGTGTGGGAGTCTTTAGTCTCTGGTATTGACAGGAGAAACAGTTTCACAAAAGTCACCACGGGTCAATTTAACAATACTCCAGTACCACCTTAAGCACCCTATAGTTGAATTAAAATCTAAAACAGAAAGAAATCGAAAGCCTTATACTTCTCTCGCTTTTGTTTTTCCCCAATAAGCCTTCACGGGTCACCTAACTCGGGCATGTTCTCGTCGAAACAGACATTCAGTGTACAGGTACATTCTCTGAAATTACCGTTACATTTGACTTGGTGAGGAAACAGTCAATTTGCCCTTGCCAAATATATTTGACACAAGGAATGTTCATAGAAAATAAATATGAAGACATGAGATAGACATTAAAATGCTTAAATGCAAATGCGAACTGATGCTGAGCTCACTGTGTGTTGACAGATCGGAGTGGCCACAGTAGACGGGCATCTGGACAGCATCATACAGGGAAGTAACAGTTTAGCAGCAGCTGTTGGGTTTTGGATTTACCCATGGACAACCAAGATACAGACATATGTATCAATAGTACATGAAGAAGCCCTGACCCTTCAGGATGCGAAATATTCAAACTGATTTCCATTCACTGGGTAAATAAAACATGTCTCAGTTGCACATGTGCTGAATGTTTCAATGCCCTTTATAGTGGTTAAGATGCAAAGTGCATATTTAACATAAAATAGTAAGCTAGGATATACTACAGTGTGACTATAGCTCTTAACTTCCCAAGTGATTCCTTCAGAACTGCGGTCCTTTTGCACCAAATGACACAAGAGAAATGATCAGGTTCACAGAACAAAAGAAACACCAGTTTACACAAACCACAGAAACAGAAAGCGATACAGAGGAGCAATGCCTTCACACTGTGAGTGCAGTATGAGAGCACACATGCTGCTGCTTTATTCACACAGCATCAGCTGGCACTGAATGAAATAAAGGTCAATTTCTGCGTTGCTGTGAATCCTTTGTGTGTGAGATTATTGCATAGTTTGGAATTCTTAACATAGCTATTGACACTGAAAAATAAAGCATCTCTTTTTCTGGTCTGTGCTTCACTCTTATCAATCCAGAACAATATATAGATTCACTTGTCTTTTGCAAACAGGACCAGGTTCAATTGCTTAAAAAAAAGTAGCAAAAAAAAAATTCCTTATAATTTTGTAATTAAAAAAAAAAAAAAAAAGTTAAGATGATCAGTTTGCAAAGTTTGAATTTTTAAGAAAGGGAATTTTCTCAATCAAATTGCTTCATAGTGAACTGAACCCAGCCCTGGTTCCAAGTTAATCTCTATATTAAATTTTTCAATGTGCACAAAAATTTGCAGAAACAATCTTAAACCACCGGTTATCTCATCGAAGTTACTGGCACCAAACCAGCACCTGTCTACCAGGTATGGATAAAACAAACACCAGCATGAAAACCCTTCTCAGTGACCGTGGCTCTGCGCTAGTCTACCGATTCTCACAGGTTGGCTTGATCGTAGATGTAAGAGAATGAAGTCTACTGGGACTTTTTAATTTGGTTCTATAGAGTTTAAGTGTATATATCGATGTTCCCCTCATTTTTCTTTTCAGCGTTTTGGTTATTTGAGTTGAAATTGGATGTCACATGTTTTCATGCACCAATCTGGATGTAGCAACATTTGTACCATAATCTGATGACAGTAGTGGGGATGTTGTTGCTAACGTTTCCAGACAGTGTCAATCAAATCTGATCAAACCACACCCGCACAGTTCTGATGAAATCCTAAATAATAACTATTGTCGCTTATTTAGTTGTAAAAATTTATTGCCACCTAAGATTTACTTTAATCAATTTAAGGGCTTTAAAGACGAACTAGAGCTAAAACCAACACAAACAATACAGTGTGTTCTCCTTTGAGACATGTCATCCTTTCTCTACTATATAATATCAGAGGTGACACCTTTAAAAGAGGAACTCAAAAACAATAAATAATAACATAAAAGAAATATACGGCATGAAGATAATAGCTGACATTAGCTACGATTAGAATTTGTCTACATTTAGCCAGCCATCTTAAGGAAAATTTGTATTATCCTTTAAATTAGTGCAAAACCATCAAAAAACATCACTGTGAGCGCACTTAATGCTAGTGTTTGTTTTACTGTGACTACACCTGCTCAGTCTTCAACAGTGTGCACAAAACCCCAGTTTTGAACAACTAGCAGCTGAAATGGCAACCTTATCTTTTTTTTAAACCAGAAAGTGTGTCAATATGAAGCTAGAGTTTTGTTGTGGTCCCTTGTAACACCCATAAAGTACATCACCTGACCTGAATGACCAACCTTGTTCCCCTATGGCCAGCACAGAGTCATGACATGGGTCCCATTCAGTCACCAGAGTGTCAGCTCTTTTTTTTTTTTCTTTTTTTTTTTTTTTTTTGGCATAGAGCTCATGTTCAAATAGGAGCCATGACTGAACTGCTTTTTAAATCTGTAAACGAATTAAAACTACAATAATGCATTAAAATAATAAAAAAAAACATTAAATAATAAAGTAGGAAAATAAATATCATTCCAACAAGGCTTTTTTTTTAAATAGTCATTTTCAATCTTGACACTGGAAGCCAGTGTGTATGTCACGTGATTCACCTCAGAGAATGATGATCATCAGTCCAAGAAGATGGCTGCTCTCAGTCTCATCGGTGAACGTGCTAATCAGCTACTGCACATACACCACTGCTTCACACTCAGTTAAGAACATGGATACAGATCCCACTAAACATGGTCCCACATATACTGTAGAGCTCAACAGTCTTAAGCATTACAAGTGTCTGGATACAAGATATGCAAAATGGATTTTTTTTTTTTTTTCTGATAGACAGACTTGGCCATGACCTGGACAATCCTTATGTGCAGGATGGTGATTTGAAACACATGACCATGACTACATCTGCCATCAGAAAAAATCAAATAAAAAAAATCTAAATAAAATTAATTAATAAAAAAAACAAAAAATCATAAGTACTATAGCTATACACTATTTTGGTATTTCATGAATAGCATTCAGGGCAGTTTGAAGTTTTTTGGTCAGTTTAAGGTAACCTCTCAAAGGTTATCATGAAACCTCTACAGACCTCACTCCGTATGAGCACTCTCGTTTAGAGGGCTTGCTATGGCTGTCTCAGATAACTTAGTGTACAGTACATTTAAGTGTTATGTTAGTGTCAGAAAATAGATATGAAACTCATTTCCACATCTCATGCTCACAATTTGACTGGTCTCATTGCTGAAATATTAGATACATCTACCAATAATTTCGCATTCCTATCAATGAACTAATAATAATCCAACTATCTCTATTCATGAACAAATGTCAGGATAATGAGATTGTGTTTTTGTCTTTTAAAGTACGGACTTGTGCTCTAGAGGTGTGAACCACCATGGCTGCTTTTTTTTCTTTTCTTTTTTCTTGCTTGGCATCAAGAGACATCTTAAGGATTCATCCCTGTTGAAGGAGGTGAGGAGGAGTATGAACAGGACCGTGTTGCGCAGATGCAACAGCCACATGTTCAACACTAACTGTGAGCGGACACGTTTGAAAACAGTCGATGGAAGGGGGGTTCTCTCAAGCCTATAGTGTAGGATATACAATATAACGACAATCAAACTCTGATATCAACTCTATGGGCGATCCGGCATTCCCTAGAGGTGCATATTTCTGTAACTTCCAGTCTAGCGGAGGAATGGATTTTATCACCCCTAGGGAATAGAGGAGCTTTCGTGATGTTTTGAGGGGTGTGTGGAGTTTTTTTTGAATCTGAGTGGAAGTTAGGAGCTGTCACTGGCAGAGCGCTTTTTGCCAAAATGACTGGCAGGGTCTCTGTTTCGCAGATTAGGCTGGATCTTGTACATATGGGGACCCATGGACCAGCGCCAGCTCCCACGGCCCTCCACTCCAGTTGGGATGGCGGCAGCTGCAGCCACAGCAGTGGATGGGCAGGGCTTGTTCTGCAGCAGCTGAATAAGCATGGTCATCTCTGGGCCCAGCCGCGACACCATGCTGGTCCTAACGCGGTCCACTGTGTCCTCATCACAGTCCATCAGGCTTTGAAGCAGCTTACCATAAAACCTGGGACAACACAAAGCATCACAGAATGATTTTTTAAGTGCTCAAAACCAAAAGGGACAAAAATGTACAATTTATTCTCATTTCACAGATCTTCTTTGGAGGTTTTTGGCATTCTCAGATCTTAATATAGTATATCTATGTATTTGTACATGTGCTGTAAGGTCTGATGTCATCCGTATGGGAGTGACCATCCCAGCTCCAGTCACATCTAAGCCTTGTGCTCCACCCTCCTATCCTTCTGTATCCACTCCCAGACTGCAATCCTGCATGTATTACAACAACAATAGGAACGAAAACATCCAAACTTGATATTCCTGTTTTATTTTCTTTCATTGTATGAAAGAATGTATGAAGCAGATGGTAACCAAAACATGGAAATCAATACAAATGTAGCCATCTGTTACACCACGTAATACAGGGCTAAAGGTGCATCTATTTGTATATTTGTAATATGAACAGCACTTTAGGTCATTGTGTCTCTCATTCACTCAAGTTTAGCAGCAGATACATTTCACTCTTATTGTCCACTACTGGAGAGCTGCACGATTGTTTTCCAGTCTGTTCTCGGGGTCAAAGAGCTTCACAGGGCTTAAATTCTGTAATGACTGACATTTTCTTACTTAACACATCATGTAACGTGTAGGACTGTCAACCTCAATCGACTTGTGTATATGTATGTACAGTATATACTATAGGGTGGAGGGGAAGCTCACCTATTGGGGAAGTGACTTGGCAGCTGTGCCACTTCACCAATAGCATCTGGATTAGATCGGGCAACAGTGCAGATATCCAGCTTGCTGTAACACTCCTCTTGGACCTCAGATATCATTCTTTGGAAGGTGGAGCAGCGGCGGATGGTGGGGAATGCCTTCGAGGTGATGCCATTGGCAATGCACTTAAGGCTCTCCTTCACAAATGCTTTACCCTGTAAAAAAAAAAAAAAAAAACTTGTGCTTCACACATTCTTGCCCTGACAGTTACACCCATATTATACTACACAGCTCATGTGCACTTAGAAACAGACAAAATGGCATACTGTATGTAGTCTTTGTGAAATTAATTAAAGAGTATACCTGAGTGTCAAATTTAGCAGCACTGTATAAGAAGGACTTGCAGATGTCATGCATGCCATCTGTGTCACAAGTTGAGTTTTCCAGGCAGGCGAAGGCTCCGCAGCCAACTTGGAGGGCACTGTTGAGACAGCGTGCCACATCTGCTGTGGGCACAGAGAATGAACCATCAGCAGGGGAGCCAACAGTGGGTTCACTGGGAATCACTGCACACTCACTGAGCTCATTACACAAGGGTTGCCAGGGTTTCAGCTAAAAAAAAAAATGCGACGAACAAAAGAGAATTTTCATACTTTGGTGATTCACAAAAGACATACAGTCACTCGGGGCAAACAGTGACTTGACTGGGGATTGGACACCTTACAATTCTGAGAGTCTCAGACACTATTTGGCACTACTGCACTTTTCTCTTGGCAGGGACCTATATTCCACTGTTTGGTTCTTTTCAGCAGAGCTTGGATGAACAGTACCAGAAATACCAAAGAGTTTCCTGAAAATTGTTGGCATGCCTGTAGACACACATAAACATACACTTGTACCGCTGGCACACACACACATACACTCACTCACACACACACACACACACACACACACACACACACACATACGCACGCACAAATGCTCAGTGCCACCAGACTCTGTCTTCAATTATTGTACGCGAGCCGAACTTGTCAAGCTGATTTGAGGACTCTGACTCCAAACCACTTGAATATTCTTAACTATTGACTAAGCACATGTCACAGTCCAGTTACATACCCAGAATTGATCCCATGCGCTTCTACATGATGAAATACACACTCAGAAATATTCATTTCAGGAGCATCACATGACCAGAAGAGTTATTAGGCTAGTAACCCTGATCCTCATCTTTGTAAAGCCTTCGAAACAGCTCCCCTGCAGCAGCATTCAGTCCTTCAAAAACCAATCATAGCCAAGGGACACAGCTCTAAGTCCATGCAGTCGACTTGAAATTTTACACCAAGACAGAGCTGTAAGACATAATCTGTAAATCAGTGTATCCAGATAGTTGGCTTCCCTTATTCTTTATCCAAGAATCCACTGAGATGGCAAGCAGCCTGACTTAAATCCTTTGTAATAACCATTAAGAAATGTCACAGAGGATCCTAAGCCCACTTGGCAGACTTCAAATCTGGGGCCCCATGTTGACCTGCACAGTCAGATAAAGTCTGCCTGCCATCAGGGACCAGAGATTCCTCTCAAAATACAGAGAGTGAGCTGCAAATCTTATGATGATGAAGCAATTCCTGCAGAAGGGAATCAGCATCCCTGTTACCCACTGCCTTTTTATCACTGAGCTGTACCTTTGTGTTAAGAAGGAAAAGTCAAAATTTTAATGAAGCCACACAGACTTCTGCTTTGCTGTGTCATTTCCTGATGGTTATTACAAGGGATTTTGACTTAGGTCTTTATTTTTTCTTTGATGGATAAACGTCAACTAATAGGATTGCATTTATTTGTCCAAAAGGCACAGCCCCAGTGACAAACAGTGTAGCTTTTTTTTTTTTTTTTCTGAGGCATGCTGGAGAAAAGGTACAATGGTGTAGCCTACTTCTTTTTCTGACTATACAGGCTACACAGGAAGCTTTATGTTTTATGCACTGAAACCCCCTTTAAGTCCACTGTAATGCTGAATAGTTGGACCTATGCAGCAGCCAAAGCTATGAAAGACTGTCAGCATGACACAGCCTGCACTCTCAGGTGTCAGCACCAAGCTCCATGCTCATCTGTTGCCGGCAGGACACCGGCAAAAACCACAGCGTTAATCCCGCAGCCTTCTCCGTGAATCAACGCGCTCGTTTAGACAGAAAGGGCTGCATAGGCCAAAAAAAAAGAAAAGAAAGAAAGAAAGAAAAAAAATGTGAGAAAAAAAAACCTCCACACAGGGAGCGAGCAAAGGTAAGGCTGTGCATTGTAAATAAATGGTGTGTAAAAAAAAAAAAAAAAAAAAAAAAAAAAAAGCAAGCTGTACACTCTGAGATATACAGATGGAAGCAGCGTGTTACTTACAAGGGCTATTGGCAGAAAAGCGTGCTCTCCTGGGCGAATAAGACTCGTTTTGATCCAGTTCATTTGCAGATGCGTTCAGCACCATCAGGAGAAAAAGTCCGGTCCTCAAAGGCATCGTCCTCTCAACACAGATGATACAACTAAATGGAAAGAGACGCCTCCTGCTCTGTGTGTAATTCATAGGAATAAAAGCTCCAAAAGCTTCTGCAGCGCCGAAAACAGAACAAATGTAGGCTAGTACAAGTAGGCTGCCAGCAATGTCTCTACATTGGACTCCTCACTATCCTTTTGACTTGCATGACAGATAGCACCGATGTCAAGTCTGCATGGGTTTATATGGGAGCGCTGAACATTACGAGTTCTGCGTTTGGACCAATCAGAAGGCAGTATTCAAGACCGTGGTCCCGGTCTCTCCACTACTAATTGATAAAATCATTTAACAACGGCCAACACTGTGGATCTTCCAGCTCAGCGTCAAGGTTGTGGGAATTATTTCCTGTAATGACGCCAACAAACTAAATACGAGCACTATATATTTCTAATTGTTATCTAAAGGGACTTTTTAAAATCATCCTTTCTATCAGGCAACTACATTTCTATTACTAAATCATTTCTGTGATCCGATTACCAAGTGATCCCTGACTGACAAGTATTAGGCTACAGATCAGTCACGAGGCTTGAAATAAGGGTTGTGCCTTTGATAAATGGAATAAATTGGTTTATGGATGAGTTGTTCCGTGATCAAAACGATTTACATAGAATAAGATTTTTTTTGTGTTGCCCTACAGTATAGGCAGGCTGACATGAAACCATGCTTGCATAAATAAAAGGTAAGGGACAGTATCAAAATTAATTAGGTGGAAAGGAGGGGGTGTGAAAAGGTAGAAGGGTGTTGTATTTTTCTTTTGACTGAAGGGAGGACAGTCTTGAGAGGGCATTTTATTCATAGTGATATATTTTTTTCCAAAGTAACATTTTTTAGAATCAAATATTGTAAAGATGATCACTATGGCACAGGGCATCCAGAGCTTGATTTTCCCCATCACAATCAAAGTTGCCACAACTTTTGACCATTGCCAATTTCACTTCTTCTGATGTGTGTATTGTTGGCTCACGCGAAAATTATCATTCCATTACGCAGAAAAAAATGGAGTACACCCTTTACATTTGTTTTTAGTATATTAATAATAGTTTGTCTCTCGGAGAGATTTAGAGAGGGTGGTGCAGGTTTTCCTTAGTCAAGAGGTGGATCCAAAGAAAAATACTGATAACCTCAAGGCAGGTCTTGTTTTTTTGTTTTTTCTAAACGGAAACAGGAGATTCAGCCCTCCTCCCCACCCCAAATAATTTTTCTGCTGTCCCTAACATCAACAAAGGCAAAGCCCTTCACCACACTGATAGACCTGAGGTTTTTAACCAACCAGTTTTTTAGTCAAATGTGGTGCATGCTTTACCAGACTTTGCCCAAATATCAACCCAGAACATTCAAATGACATGTCTTTTTTATCACTCTGGCATTTTCCTGAACCATGCTCAATGATGACACCATTGTTGCTTTAGCTCAGGGAATCTACTTAACATGGAGATAAACTACGTGTGCTGTTGACATAAAGTGTGGATAATGATTGCTGCTGATCTAATCCTCCATTCTCCTCTTACTAAGACTGTAAAATGTTGGCTCAGAGTCCACTAACTTGCAGCTGCACGTGCCGCCGCACAGAGGATGATGTGTGGGACTCTAAGCTATCATTTATCATGGAGGCCTCACGCCTCTTCACCCAGTGCAATGCTCAACCATTACAGGCAGAATCAGACAGTATATGAAGCCGAATTGTCCTGATAATCATAGAGTGGAATAAAAGAAAATGTTTAACAGTGATCTGAAAAGACTTTCTTTGGTTTAGATTTACAGCAGAAACCTCTTCCTTAGCTGAAATACAGTGCCTTTCAAGCACCTGTAAATGTTTGTCCTCTTATCTCACAAACCGTATCATGTTCTGTCAATCACTCTTCTTTTCCTGCAGTGTTTCAGAGAGCAGAGAGCACCTCTTCACGTCTGTCTTCTGTGCTCTGGTTATCTTTGGCAATCATTGAGCTATAACCCTAATTTCTCCCAGAGCGTTGTCAGGACTTGGGCATGATGTCAAGCTGTTGGCACCTTATGTCTGCTGGGGAATCCAAATATGGGCCCCTGCCAACTGCACCGATAGCCTTTGTAATGGAAAGATGATATGAATTTAACAGCCTAATGAATGAGATATTATCTACTGTCACAGTCAATCACCATCAATATCCTCGTCTGAGAATGGCATAAGTTACATGTTTGAAAAATGATTTTTGACAATTTGCACAGTTCAGACTAAGTTGGATCAGTGCTGACCTTTTGAAAAGAGACCAGAGAACGCTCTGTGATCTAATTTACCTGATTGCTTGAGGGTTTGTCCTTGGATGGGACTCTTTAGGTCATTTAAGTGCTTTTTTTTCTCTTCTTTGAATGAGACATGACCATATCTAGAAAATTAGGAGTAATTGTCCATTATAGTGTTGACTCTTACATGTCTGTCCGTGTGAATGAAGGCTCTCTCCTTATATATTAGGTGTGGAAAACAGTATGAGACCAGCCTGCTTGCTCACTGGTTATATGTCAGCACTCCTAAAAAGCCTGAAGAAAACAACAATGCAAACAATATGTAGGATTTGAGTCAGACGCTGAGCTGATATTCATGCTTTCCATGAATATGTTGCTGCTCTTGCATTTATTGCTTCCCTATGTTTTTTTTTAAACTCAAGTGGGTGGGGGTTTGGTGCGTCTCAGCTGAAACTGAAGACATGAACTGAGAGTTTATTCATGAGTTTGGAAGTCGGTCTCATCCTTGTTAGCACATCACTGCAGACTCTTCAATGTTGGAGCGAAGCCATACCACAAACACATTTGAGAATACCACTTCTGCGTCCTCTTGGGGGAAAGGATAATGAATTCCTTTGTCAGGTAGAAGAAGGTGCTTCACCTTGTTTTCAGAAATATAACAGACAACATAGAGGGCAGAGTTCACCGAAAGGACAAATCTGTTGCAGAGAATGAACATGCAGTCAAAACGGGCGGCTGCAGTTTTGCATTCATTTACATTGAGGTGGATGAACTGATTCTCTGATTAGACGTCACTTTGCATCTAAGTTGAATTTTGCCCTAAGCTTATTGCCGTTTGCCTGACAGCAACTTCCTCTATAATTATAAGATTATGAGATGCTCATTATGAGCAAGAGATTTGAAATTAGTGTAAAAATGGGGGGTTGATCTATTATCAAGTGGAAGCTAATTAATCATAAATATTGCTAATGTCTGCACTGAATCTTTTTATAATGAGTTATATAAAAACACTTGCAAGGAAGGACAGTGCAGTGCAAGTCTACCTGCGTCCACAAGAGGGACTTTGTCAGATTTCACTGACTTAACATGAGCTATTACTGTGAAGTAACACCTCCAAACAGTCTGCTGTCTGAGATGTATTGGAGGGATGGAGAGTGGTCCATGATTTGTGAAATTTGAGAAGTGGAAAGGATGCGAGACACCCTGCAGGATCAGAATCACATCCAAGTTTGCCACATGTAAAACCGGTCAACGGTGATGTGTTTGCACCGTCATTCAGATTCTTCTGTGTGTTTTGATGTGTGTCATTTGATTCGGGGGGGTAATGCATTTTGCTTTCTGGCAGCAGATGACTGTGGTGTTCACGTGTGAATGACACTTGAATTTTGAGGAAATATTTTGATCATGACTTGGGGTATGAGCAGCAGCTCTGACAGACAGATCTGTCCATTAGACTGAGCACCCACCCTGACATCAGCTAAAATACAGACTGTGTCACTTTTATATCTCAAGAGTGAATTTGAAATACATACACATCCACCTATAAGGCGCTCAGGATGCAGAGAAATTTGATTAATTCTAAAACAAAATGTTAACAACCTTTCAAAACCGCTTACACAAACCAAATTAATTACAGTTATAGTCTGCATTGTTAGATGAAAGTCTATTGAAACACCAGAAGTGGAGCAACCAGACTGAGATTTGGTTTCTGTGGGCACACTGAGCAGCTAAGCCCATTTACTATTGTGAGTGGTATTCACTACTCAGAAAGGCTGAAATTAGAAGACACCTCTGTGTATAGAGCTCTAATTTGTTGTGGCCTTGTAGAGCTCAAACTTCTTAGAAAAAGTAGGATTTTGACAGAGAAAACGCTCATTGGCACATTACCAGAAAAGAAGGTGGAATGTTTCAGTTTATTTTCTTAGGAGTGTTAAATGCATTTCTTCCTCTGTAGTATCTGAATGGATGGTGTTTTTCCTCAAACAGATGTCTGCATGACTTGAACATAACGCAAAAAACTCAGGGGATCTGCATTCCTGAATGTGTATCCGATACGAGCAGCATAGCAGGGCTATACATCTGGAAGCTGGAATGAAAACACACTGCAGCTCTGCAGCATGAAACATTAGGAACAAAACATTGCACAAAAAAAATTAATTGCTACGAATGTTTTCACATTTTCGCTGCTCTGCAAAGGGAATAAGAATCAAAGAAATGTAGAACCATATAACACAGTAGGATACAAATCCTATATCACTTTTTCATTCAAGTGAATGGTGGAAGGATCTTGCGTGAACGATATGGATGGAAGATTGTGGAACACTTTTCCCATTAAAATTTTTTTGTATATATGTTATGTAAAGTATTCTGTGAAAATGTCAACTGCAGAGAGAGTATGAAACAACGTTCCACCCTTTACTGTCTTCAAATCCAACTGCTGAAGCTGGACATGTCTGACTATAAGGGCAAGCTTGTCTTCTAGTCAAGTACGGGAACTATATGGTTGTTAAGGCTGGTGTGAAAGCACTGGGTTCCTAATAATTTACAATGAAATAAATCACTGTATTCATACTGTGTGGACAGGGGGCATCATGTTGAAATTTAAGCTGGGGCTTCAAAATAAAATGCTCCAAAATCCTCACTAAATATTGTCCACTACATTTAATTTTGTACCATTTCTGCCGTCAGTTTTACAGCCACAATTTACTTTGTAGAGCTGCAACCATCAGAAATTGCAAATTGTTGGTAATTTGTGCTCAGTCGTAAAACGACGACTAGCAACATGCTGCACAAACATGACTCTCTAAAGAAGCACTCTGTACCCTGACCTCCCCTTACATTGGAGATACGTGGTCACTGATGGACTTGCTTATGTTTGCAACTGCAGCTGAAGGAATGAAAATAGGTTTCTTTCACTGGCAAAG